CCGAGATAGAAAGGAAATAAGCGAGGCCATTGAGAAGTTCTACACTAAATTATACTCGGTAAATACACAACCACAACAACGACGTACTGAAAGAACAGTAATTAACACCGGCTCAGAAGAGATACCGGACATAACTATGAAATAAAAATGGCTAAGGTGAAGTGCGTATGTAGAATCTGTTTTTCTGACATTGAAAGCCGTTTTATGTTCTGCTATTCCGTTATTAAAGTTTCTACCAGTTTGACAGATGTAAGTTTTTGGGCAGTCGCCACATTTAAGTTTGTACATACCACTGTGTAAGTGTTTTTTATTTTGGCTCTTGTTGTTTGTAATATATTTGCCTAGGTTGTTCTTTGTTCGGAAATCTGGTGTTAATCCTTTCTTTTTTTATGTGTTTGGCTATTTTTGTTGATATTTTGCCTGTATATGTAATCAAGCAGAAGGTACTGGGATTTTTCTCTGGTGGTGGAAAGAGTAATTTCAGGGCTTTCTTGTGTAGTTTTTTCTTCTTCTTTCAGTGCTTATTCGTTCCGAATATTGGCAATCATTCTGGCTATAATTATTTTATTGACTGATGCTTTAAATAGATTCGTTGTTGTTGTGGAGAACCATTTCCTCAGGTTCTTCAACCATGATATTCTCCTTCTCCCAATTCCTCGCTTTCCGAATACTTTACCCTGTAGGATTACCTTCAGTAATCTGTATTTAGTGCTGTTTCTCATTATATGTTCCAGATATTCCAACTTTCTCCTTTTAATGGTATACATCACCTCTCTTTCTTTGCCCACTCTTCGTAATACGGTCTCGTTGGTTATCTTGTCTGTCCATGATATCCTTAGAATTCGCCTGTATAGCCACATCTCGAAGGCTTCAAGTTTTTTCTCCATTGCTTCAGTTAGTGTCCAGGATTCAACTCCGTAATACAATATTGAGAAGATATAACATCGTAGGAGCCTTACTTTTATCTCCAGATTAAGATTGTGGCTTTTAAAGAGTTTGGCCATGTTATTGAATGCACTCCTAGCCTTCTCTATTCTACATTTTATTTCCTGTGAGTGATCCCATTGTTCATTTACTGTTGTTCCAAGATAGTTATACTGTTTTACTCGGTCCACTGGTGTATTATTGATAAGTAGTTGAGCGTCTCTAACTTTATTTTTGCTGATGATCATAAATTTAGTTTTTGTTATATTTACTTGAAGTCCAAATCTTTCACTTACTTCATTTACTTTGTTTATTAGTTGCTGTAAACTGTTCAAACTGTCTGTAAAAATAACGGTGTCATCTGCATAACGGATGTTGTTTAGGCGTTCTCCATTTAGAAGTATTCCATGTTCGCATTTTTCCAAGGCTTCACTAAATATTTCCTCTGAATATAGATTAAATAATATAGGTGAATGTATACAACCTTGTCTAACGCCTCGTAGAATCTGGATAATTTCCGTTGGTTCACCTCCAAAATTCGTTCTTATTGTGGCTGATTGGTTCTAGTATAAATTTTGTATTATACGCCGATCTTGATCATCCATTTGGGCTTTTGTTAGAATATCCATCATTTTTTGGTGTTGAACTGTATCAAATGCTTTTTGGTAGTCCACAAAGCAAGTGTAAATATCGCAAGTCATATCTCTGCATCTTTGAAATAATACTTGTAGACTAAACAGTGCATCTCTTGTACCTACGCCTTTCATGGATCCAAACTGTGTGTCTTGTATTCTCTCTTCGCATAGCTTGTATATTCTACGATGTATAATTTTAAGAAAAAGTTTTATTGTATGGCTCATTAGACTTATTAGCCCATATTCTCCGCACTTTTTTGCTCCCTGTTTCTTTGGTAAGGTAATAAATTCTGAAAGTAGCCAATCTTTTGGGATATTGCCTGTGTCATAGATATTATTGAAGATTTTACATAGTACTTTTAAAGATTCATCATCAAGAAGTTTAAGAAATTCAGATTGTACTCCGTCTGGTCCTGGAGCTCTACCTTCTTTTAGTGATATTATGGCTGCTCTTATTTCTGCCACTAGTATAGGTGGTCCTGTTTCCGTAGGTATTGGGGGCTGGATCTCTCTCTCATCAAAAAATACATTTCTTATGTAATTTTTCCAGGTATCATTGATACTCTCTTTGTCCACGATTATCTCTCTATTGTCATTAACAAGTTTAATTATTCTTCTGTTTTTACATTTACCTGTAATTTCTCTTACCTTCTTATGCACGTTGAAGTCGTCGTATTTACTTTGGAGAATTTCGATTTCTTGGCATTTTTTCTCCAGTTCTTTGTGTTTGGCTTCTCTGATCTTTCTCTGTATCTCTCGCTGTATTGTTTTATACATGGAGTTATCGTTCTTGTTTTTCCTTCTTTCTTCCATTAGTTGCAGAATCTCTGTCGTCATCCATGTCTTATTCTTACCTTCTTCGTTCTTCATAAAATTGTCTTTAATGTCGTCTATTGTTTTCTTAAGGGATTCTATCTTATCTTCTGTGCTTTCCGTTGTATTATCGATTTCTTTAGATTTTCTATTTAATGTTTTGCTGACTATTTCTTTTACTTCGCTACATTTCAGTTTTCTCATGTCATGTTTTTTTACAGTTTTTTACAGTGTAGTTTTTAATTTAACATTATATTAATTGTTTGTTCGTTGTATCCGTTGTTGACTGCTATTTGCTTAATGATCTTTAATTCTGTCTCAAAGTTGTATTTTGACATCGGAATTTCTGTTAATCTATGTAACATACTGTGTACCATGATAGGCTGACAGTTTATGTTGTGTTGGATGGGATGATGACTTGTGTATAGTCGTGTCAGTATGGGTAGGTTTATGAAATATAGAGAAGTCATGTTTGTTTTTAATTCTGATAACTTTTAAATCTAAAAATGTTATGGATTGATTTTGTCCTGTTTCTATTGTAAATTCGATATGACTATAAAGTGAATTAATATACGATAAAAATTGATCGAGTTGCCTGTTAGTTCCTGTGAAATATACCAGTACGTCGTCTACGTATCTCCACCAATATGAAAACTGTATAAATACGGGATGTTTTGAAATCTTTGTCTCTAGATGATTCATAAAAATATCTAATAGCAATGGGCTTAGAGGATTACCCATTATAAGTCCTGCACTGTTATTTGTATATTATTAAATTCTAGATAATTAAATTCAAAGTAGTCCTGGTTTATGCAAACTTCAAGAAGATGTAAAATTTCAGATGTAATTATTGGATTTATACTATTTTGGACATTACGTCATCAGTGTCGGCGTAATGACGTTATCGACGATCTTTTTAAATGCAAAACGAGGTCACGCGACTGCTCATTTGGAAGGTCTCCTTATCGCCTTTGCAACGATATAATCATTTAAATATTTATTTCTACAGGGTTCACTAAATTTGTGAACTTTGTTAAGTAACATGGAGTTACAATAAATACTCATTTAATTAACTAAAATACACTCAGGAACGCCACTGGGAATAAAATAAAATGGTGTATTTACTGGTTCCGAAAAAAAAAAACATTGATAACAAACAATGCTACATTATAGTCAGAAATTAATTATTGTAGTAAGTATTCCAAGTTATTTTTCAAAAATATTTAAATCAATATTGTCATTGACTCGTATTAATTTGTCAATGATCTGTGAATCTATCAAATAATAAATGTCAAATTTTTACTCTTTCAGTTTTTCCTAACACTAATAAAAGCATTTAAGAAAATGAAACTACTAGAAACAGAACGAATCCAGATTTTGATCATGATTAGTTATAGAGATAGAGAGAGGACTCAAGCATAATTTTAGCTGTTAAATTACCCAATCGCGAAGCAATTACTCAATCAACAGTAAGCAAAATTGGAAAAAAAATAGACAAACGGTCCATGTTAACGATCTTCCCAGAATTGGTGAAAAATCAATATCCGACGCCAAGAAACTGGACGTTGTACTGGCGTTTCAAGAAAATCCCCATACCAGTTCTAGGCAGGTCGTACTAGACAATAATGTCCACCAATCAACTGTTGTAAGAGTGCTAAAAAAGGAGAAGTGACATCCATACAAACTATATCTGATTCAGAAGCTATTAGAAGATGACTTTGATAAAAGAATCTAATTCTGCGAAACCGTTATGAAAAAATGGCAAGTGAAAAAGCTTACAAAAGTCAAAGGTTTTTGTTTTATTCAGAGGACAATACACTTATTCGGTGAATCGTAGTATTTTAGTGAGATTATAAATATAGCTTCGGAACTAGTTCGGGACGCAGTCTATTATAAATTTTTATAACAATTATTTTACACAATTAAAGTGTATTATTATACAATTAAAGGGAAATAATTCAGTAGCTGTTCATAAAACTATATTTTACTCCACTACAACTTCAATATTTACTTTTGTTTACTTCAACATTCTATTTTATTATCGTTGATAGAGAACAATCTGACACATGGATTAAAAACAATTTGAACTTACAATTACGTTCGAACTTGTCCACTGGCATTAGAAAAAGTTATGACAGATTCGGGAATTAACGTAACGGGTACGATATATGCTCCAACTAAATAGGCAGGTCTTAATAGTAACATAGTCTTAGGTAATAACCTTATATTTTCACTTTTAAATACTGTGGTATTCATAAACAAATACCGAATAGAACGTGATTCACAACTGCAACAAGTCTTCGATTTTTTATCCACGTCTGTTATCCCACACACCTACATAAAATTCGTGTTCTCAAAAATAATCATTGTCAAAATTGTGGTTAAAACGGATCATATTTTTTTCAAATACCACAAATTTCATGATGAAACATAACATTTTATTTAGCAATTACATGATCTTCATGTCAGTTTAATAAGTTTTTTTTGCTTGATGTTTTAGTCCTGTTGTGGCTGGCTGATTGACATCTAGGTTTACGAGATTTATAAAATACAATGGATAAAATATGATATAAATATAATATCTCATTTCAAAATAAGCAACAATTAATAAACGTTTGAATTTCTTACTCATTAATAGCAGGAACTGTTGTGGTGGTGGAGGTTTGTTGTCTCGACCTGATAGTGGTGCCAGTCTAAAATCCAAGAGTCTTAAGAAGGTCATCAAAAGAGCAGAGTCCACTGAAGCTAAAACTTCTTTTAAACTATTTCGCACAAAATGGATTGCAGGGATGGCGTAAAAGTATATTAAAGTTTTTAATGTACTCTCGAAGGGTTTGGCCAACTGAAACAAAATATAAAACTGTATATAAAAGTACGTACAAGACTGTGTGACTTAAAAAAATGGAACATGAGAGTTAAATCAATACTGTCTTGAAGCTTTTTTTGTGGTATTTTAATAAAATTACTAAATAACTAAAAATTACTAAAATAACTAAAATAACTAATAAAATTACTCATAAAACACGTACAATGTTAAGAAGCCTAACCAAGCCTCGGAACAAAAGATTGGAAACACAGTAGACGAAAACAGCAAAGAAAACGGTTAATGAATTTTTGTACATGGAATGTGCAAGGTATCTCCCGAAAAACAACAGAAATTATGTCAGAACTCAAAAATGCAGATATAGATATCGCGGTACTTACAGAAACTAAAAAGAAAGGTATGGGTTCTGAAAAGTGGGGTCACTATGACCTGTTCTATAGTGGAGTAACTAAAGACCAAAGAACACAACAAGGTGTTGCTATTGCTATTCGCAAAACTTTAAAAAGACATATTACCTCTTGGGAAGCAATTAATCAGAGATTGATAAAAATGAACATCACGATAAAAGGAAGCAGAATAGCCATACTAGGTGTATATAGAATTAATGAGGACGCATTGGTCAACAGTAAAGATGCATTTTTCGAACAACTGAACGATGAAATTATAAAAGTAGGAACATCTAGGGAGATTATACTTCTAGGAGACTTCAACAGCAGAGTTGGATGGGAATTGAACTACAAAGTTGTAGGAACACACGGTGAAAATACCAGAAATGATAATGGAACCAGATTAATAACAATATGCACACAAAATACCTTAAAAATATTAAATGGATTTTATTCACATCGCGATATACACAAATACACGTAGATACAATAAACCCGAAATCTGAAATCTATAATAGATTACAGAATTGTAAAACAGAAAACTTCTATTAAAATACAAGATGTGCAAACGGTGCTCCCAAACAGATACGAAAAAGAAAAAGAACACATCGAGTCAAATCAGTTAATAAAACAAGTACGGTACAATCTAGACAGTTTAAACCATGAGATTGTAAAGCTACTGTATAAAAAACGGTTAGACCAAAAATTAGAAATGGGTAGTTTTGAAAATACCGAAGATTACTACGATCACATCAAAAGGTCGATTCATTTGGCAGCAGAAGAAGCACTGGGGAAATGTGACGAAAATCATAAAGGAGTAAAACCGTACTGGTGGGATGAAGAAATAGAGAAGGAAATTAAAGATAAACGTCTGAAATACCAAACATTTTTAACAACAAAAACAGAAAACGATAAAACAATTTACTAAGAAGCACAAGCCAAAGTAAGAAAAAAGATAACTCAAAAAAGGAACGAATCATGGGAACAGAACTGCCAAAAGATCAACACCTACATAGGAGGTAGAAGAAGCACTGAGAGTTGGAGATTGATTAAAAGTATAAGAAATAATAAAAAAAAGACGTTATATCACCAATAACAACAGAAAAATAGGAAGAATATTTCAAAAAATTACTAACAGAACAAAGATCAGAATTTGCTAACATGAAAGACAACACGATAGGTATACGTATAAATTCATCACCACTGCAAATCAGTCAATCAGAGATGGAACAAATAACCGAATCCCTGAAAAATGGAAAATGCCTGGTCCCGGTGACATCCCTGCAGAATTAGTGAAAGCCGGTACAGACAAACTCCAGGAACAGTTAAGAAAACTCTTTCAAGACTCCTTGAATGGGGCCGAATTACCAAAAGAATGGAAATTATCTATCATGTCAACTATCTACAAAAAGGGCAGCAAGGATCACTGTGAAAATTACAGAGGAATTGCGGTAAACAGCACAATAAGTGGAATGTATGGGAAACTTATTAAGAACAAAATAGAAAATGACTATAGAGATTACGAAGCAGAAGAGCAAGCTGGTTTTAGAGCTGGGCGATCCACAGTAAACCACATGTACTCTATTACGCAAGTTATTGAGAAAAAAACAGCCTTTAATAAAGAAATTCACCTGGTGTACGTAGACTTACAAAAAGGATATGACAGTGTACCCCTAAGTAAACTATGGTCAACCCTACAGCAAACCAACATTCAGCATGGCCTTATCAAAGCAGTTCAAATTCTGTATAATAGAACGACTGCAAAAATTAAAACTGGATCAAGGATATCTGAAGGATTTAAGGTCACGAAAGGACTAAAGCAGAGTTGCTGTATTTCGCCTACCCTTTTCAAAATTTATCTGGAACAAGCACTCAAGCTATGGAAAAGATAATGTAATGGCATGAGAATCCCTCTCAATAACGAGACTACACTGTACACCTTATGTTTCGCTGATGATCAAATACTGATTGCCCAGGATCATGACGACTTGAGTTACATAAATCGAAAGCTAATAAAAGAATATAACAAATGGGGTCTCGAAGTCAACATTAAGAAAACTAAAGCCACGTGTATTGGAGGGACAAAACAATCTAATATATTAGACGATGGGGTAGAAATTAGAAACTGTGATGAATACAAGTACTTGGGTATGAAGATAACTCAAGATGGAACACTCGATGCTGCTATAAAAGACAGAAACACACAGGGTAGAAAAGCCATATCCATGATGAACGGCATTCTGTGGGACCAAACAATATCTAAAGCGAACAGACAACTCATATACAACACCATACTTAACAGTGTAATCACATATGGCAGTGAAGTTTGGCCAATGAAACAAAGAACAGAGAAACTGTTACTAGCAACAGAAACGGACTTCTGGAGAAGAGCAGCAGGCAAATCAAGAAGAGATCGGATACCAAATGAGAGAATACGAGAAATGATGGGAGTCAAGCATACAATGGTTGATGACATAAAAACAAAACACTTAATATGGTACGGCCATGTACAAAGAATGCCAGATGACAGGATTCCAAAACAGATTTTGAAGTGGACACCACAAGGGAGAAGAAAAAGAGGAAGACCGAGAAGAAGCTGGAGAGAGGGAATTGAAAAAGAACTAGAGGAAAGAGAAATCCCTTCAGACCTATGGTTGAATAAAGAAGAATGGCGGTTAGGAGTCGAAAGGCGTCGGAGAACGCTGTAAACCGATAGTAGTAGTAGTAATAAAACTACTTAAAAATACTATTTTTACTTGAAATTAACCACCGTTTTCCCTTATACAATTTAATTAACCTAGAAGCATGATTTTTTTTAATATATAAAATTTATTTCACACGCTCCTAGCTGATGCTGTTTATTTAAAAATGTATTTGCCCGAGCATCTAAAAAAATATTAACGGCGTAGTTATCGAATTTGACCTCACCTTAATTGTGTTTTTATTTAAATAAGTTTCCACAAAAATTTGAAGACCCGGCGTTTTAAGATTCGTGACTTAATCACCGTTTTGTTTCAAGCTGTATCCTGTGACGAGGGATTTGATAAAAGCGTCCTGCGGACGAAAAACGCCGACATGGTTTTAGGTGGAAAATATGCAGCCGAATTAGAAGAATCAAAGAACATATTGTTATCATCCAGGACAACCTGAAGTACAGTTTTGCTATCTGATTTAATTTCTCCCAGGATTTGTCAAGCTGCACCTTCTATTTTATTTAATGTATCCTTCAAAGATCAGGTTTTGATTGCATTAAAGTTTGTGGGACAGTGTTTTTGTTTTTAAATCTAAGGTATTTTTTTAATAATTTAAAAAGGTTTAATTCGCCAGTGAAACAAGTAGTGTTAATGATTTTTTTTTAAATAATAAACATTCATCGTTATTACAATAAGATTGCTCCCATGTTAATTTAAAAAGTTTATAAATAAATATAAGTTTAATGTGTGAGCTAATTGTCATATTTTAGTTTCTTTTAAATAAAATTAACTTTTGTTAAATAATTACCAATTCAGAAAAGTTAAGAATTTTCATGCAGACATATGACAGTACATCTTTTCTACCATTTGGCAAATAACCATAGTTTTAATTCTGTTTTTTAGAAGGTTCAACTCAATGTAATGTTTGTTGATAAATTTAGATAAATTTAGATATTTTTGTAATTTGTAATTTTTCTCTTAAACTAGTGGTCTAAAAAAATTATTTCTTTTAAAACGATATTTACCTTTAACACATTTTTAGGAAAGAAAAATCCTAAGCATTTTTTAAAAGCATCTTTTAACCAGCGTCCTAATTTTAAATAGTTTAGAAATATTCATGTTTGGTTTTTATCCAGGACATCTCTGTAAATGTATTTGTGATTTCTTATTTCTTTTTTGTAGTTACTTTTTCCAGTCCCTTCTCCTCCCCCCCCACAAAAAGAAAACCTTATCTACGACCTTGCTCTACAATCAAAACACGAGTAGCCGTTTAGTAATTGTTCAGTAAAAATTCAGTAATTGTTCAAACCTTCCTTTTAGCCCCATATAAGCAAATTAAAAAAGATTAATATCATATAAACATAGAACTATCCGAAAAGAAGTACATTGAAGCGTGTAAATGTATAATAGACTGAGAAATGAGCAGAATAATAGCTAAAGATTTAGGTATGTATTGTTTGATTTTTAAAGGAAATGTTAAGCAATACACAAAAAAAGAAACCATCAATATTGGTTATAGACCTTATACGTAATAAAGGATTTACCAAAGAACAAGAGAAAGAACTTGTTTCCGATTGTACTTATATCAACAAATTACATTTTGCCCTATTTGCCCTAACCACATTACTGCATATGGTATTATCATTAACTGCTTTAAAAAACGACGGGGAATAAATGGAAAAAGAACCACCGCTGATATTAAACTAAAACGTTTCACAAAAAAAAAATTAAGCAATAGTGCATATCAACGTGTTCAGAAGTGGATTAATAGTAGTGTATCGCATAGCTTCCACAAAAATTACACAACAAAATATCCCAAAACTTGTTGATTATTCATCATCTTCATCTTCAGCATCATTGCCGGATGCTGTAACTACATCAAACACAAAAATCTCGTTTAAATACTGATGTCGATCTACTAAATAGTCATCTTAAATATTAAAAAATGTCATGGAATCCAGAAATGAAACAAGAGGTTAACTCTGATACTGAGATCCTTGAAAGTATGCAACCCAATGAAAATCTTTTAGTGATAGGGCAAAAAGGAATCCGAAAGCAAAAGCCACTTCCCAAAAAGATTTCGAGGAAAATTGAAAAATGCACAGGAAAAAATAAAGCAGTCCAACCCAAGCAGTATTAATAAAAAATGCGGTAATAAAAAATAAGTAAGGAAGATGAGTTTTGATTTTTGAATTATTTGAAGTATTGTAGTATGGCAAGCTCGCAACGCAAATAGATTGGATCTTATCCTGTATGGTGTAAACCTCAATTAAACGAAAAAAGGCTAAGTTTATGCGAAGATTAAAAATCATTGAATATTATATTCCATATAACAATGGAAAAGTAAAAATTTGTCAACAATCGTTAATTAAAACGCTTAACATTTCCCAAATTACGCACGAAGGAAAATGCCCTAATTAATAACATCACTAAACAAGACGAAAAGGGGAAAAGAAGTCCCAAACATAAATTTCTTTCTAATCAATAATCAATATTTTCATATTCGTCGTGAAAATTATACTTGTACTGTAGAATGTTAGGAAACTGTAACACTTTACCTTTAACCAATTGACCGTTTGCCCTTTTTGATCCTCTTTCTTATTAACAACAGTATATTGTGCAAGTTTTTTCAAATCTAAGAATTCGTTATAATTAATTTCACGAGTATTATAGGAAGATTTTTTATTCCCATTGTTGCCCATTCTGGCCATTTTAAAGACATTTTCATATTCGTGAACACTAAAAATCTCCACATTTTTTTTTGGCACTTTCAATAGTGCTATGCATGGAATCTACTTCCATATAGGAGTGTCCACTTTCCATGAACTTTTGCCCAATTATCCGAAGACTCAGATGGTTTTTAACAATATGTAAAAGCAGAGCAGATACTTGAATATTTCTGTTCTGTCCTCCACACGTATCTGAAAAAATCGTTAGATGTTCTATATCAGATTATAAATTAATGTACATTCCTAGGCAAGTACCAATTTCACAGCTTCCACGCTTACCATTGACTTCGGTCCAAAAAATAACAGAATTCAGCTTTCTAAGATAATACAAGAGACTTACTAGCTTCCACGCTTACCATTGACTTCGGTCCAAAAAATAACAGAATTCAGCTTTCTAAGATAATACAAGAGACTTACTTGCGATGATGGAATTTGTAAAACGCTTTGCATATCACATGTAATTGATTTAAATTTTTTATTCTTTTTCGATACTTCTTTGTCTGAATTTTTTTCTTTCAATGCAGCCTCTTTTCTGTCTAAATGACTCCTATAATTAAGCTCCATCGCTTCTTTTTCTTGTTGCGATGCTGTTGTGTATTCCTTTTTTTGTGGTTCAAAAATGATATATTAAATTCCTTGCAAAAGATTCGCCTATAAGTTATCTGACTTAAGCTTGGCAAGTTGGCAACTTAAAATTGTCCTCTTTACACTTTTTAACGAACAGGTCGTGCATTTTTTTAATATTAAGATTGCAATCTAAATAAAGTCTTTTCGAAGACTTTCTAGTGTAGTGACTTTCTACAGCAGGAAAGCTTTGAATGTGTTTTTTTGATCTTATTCTTGTTTCCACTAAAGTTTTATTGCCAGGAATCCTACGCCCCCTCTGTCTATTCCACTATATTCGCCGCTTTCATTTTACTCTTTAAAGGCATTAATTATAGGCATATTAGAAATAGACAATGTTTTACAAAAAAATTTCTGACACACTTGACTTTTATTTCCCATATTTGTGAAAAAATAGGATTTTGCGTTGGATCGCATTTTGCTATTTTCTCCTTTTCTAGGCCTGCGACTCTTTACTTCATTAGAAAGCACATTCAATAATATAAAATCTTTCTGTCTTTGAAATGACAACCTCGCATAAGTTTGACATAGCAACTTCTGGTTCTCTTCAGAAAAGTTATTTTGGCACTTAAATCGACATTTAGAGCAATCAACCGCTTTTGGAATTTTAGGAGCTTGCATTCTACCAGTCGTACTTTTGTAGGGTTTTCCTTCAATTCGTTTGTTTTTTTCAACATTTCTTTTTCACACAGATGGTCTTGGGGTGTTCCATCGGCTTCTTTTAGGTCCAACTTGACTATTTTCATTTGAATTTGTTTTTTCCTCGGCTGCTGTAGAGTTTCCTTCGCTGGTATCTAAGTTATCACTTTCATTACCTGAAGGAATATAGTCGCTATCCTCCATACATTTATCAGAATCCTGGTCACTTATTTGAGGAGGACCTGACTTGACAAAAATTATCAGAATTTAGGCTCACGTCTTTGTTTATCGCTGTAGGTAGTTCGACAGAAAAATTTATTTTTCTTACAGAAATTAATTAATAAATTCACACAAAATTCAAAACTGTTAACGAACTAATCACGCAAAACACTGGAACAAAACTGACAAAACCTATGCAATAAACCCAAACAAGTAATTAATTTTTTACAAGATTGGACAAGTTGCTCTGCATAAGTCAGTCGGTAGGTTCATTCGTAGTCAAGTGAAATACATTAAGTCACTTAGTGTGTTTTGCCTGAATCATATTTGAGACTTAGTGAGAAACATGATAATTATAAAAATAACCGTTTTTGTTATTGTAGGACTAAGTGAGTTTAACCAGTCTAAAGAGTGAAAAAAAATCCAATAAAATGCTGCAAATAACTCAAAAGTGAAAAAAATTGACTTAGTGTGTTTCGCTTGTAAGCCGACGATATAATATTTACTTGCAATACTGATTGGTAAATATTAATTAAAAATAAGCTCCTCCTGTAAAATTCCACTGTTGCTGGTTACGATGTTTTTCCTGAAAGGACTCGATATATCTTTGCACTTTTTACTACTTACTTCAGGCAATCTCTTTAGCCAACAGTTAACAAATGGATCCAGACCAAGCACTGCGGGCTCTAAATACACCATTCCACATCTGGATACCGTAGCAGGAGATGCAACTGCCAGATCTGCCACTTCGAACATCATCGTCATAGTATCTCGAAGTTTGATGATTTCTCCACTACTTAGGCATAGTTTTTTGTTGTCGTCTAAAACCGTGTTCATGTTTTCGATCCAAACGGCATCCACTGGACCGTCGAAGACGTACCAGCGTCTATCTTTGTTGGGAGCGTTGATTCCAAGTCGAACGAGACATGGGAGAATGCCATCAGTCCTAAAAAAAAGTTTTAGTTTTAATTTAGCATGGGATATTAATTCCATCTAATTTAATATACATTTTATAAATAGTAGGATAGCACACATATGTGTGTAAATGTATATATACGATATATGTAACAACTGCCAGAAATAGTTTGCCTGTTAAAAAATCTGAGTCTAATAGTCTGAGTGGAGATAGATGTTTTTGTCACCAAAAATATTGCTGATGATGTCGCTGATATCTTAAGTCAGCAGTAATATACTGAAGATTTTTTTTTGGTGAAAATAAAAAAAGTTGAAATATGTGTTACAAATATTAATTTATTGGGCTAATACAATATTTGTCAATAAAATTTAAAAACCCGATCAATACGCTAACTACAAAAGTTCTTTAGATACCTGCTTTATCCGTAGACAATATCTGAATCTTACAATAATTCTGAATCAAAAGTCCACTACAACTTGGTTGACTTCCATGACTTCATCACAGTCGGCATTATTTAAGCACTCACATTCAGGAAGTGGATTTTCAGGCATCATTTCATTAGTGTTTATTACTTCGTAATACAATTTCACATTTTCCATTTCACTCAATTTTTCACCATAACGTTTTTGTAATAAAACGCGCACGTCTTTAATTTTTAACGCATTCACTTTGACTCCAAGCGTAAGTTCAGTTGGGTTTATATTCCACATTTTTTTCCTGGTCTCATGACACTCAAACTTGAATTAATTGGGAAACTATAGTTTTGTTCGCCACTGACAGTTACTGACTTTTGTTTCTTCTTGGTTGGTCCAGTCTTTTCCTAAAAGTTTGACTGTCCCATGCTTACTAAATTCTAAATGATACTCTTCAAGCTGCACAATTCTATCTCTTTCCTTTAAACTTCGTTCTACGCCACCAAAAATTCTATCACTAGGCATATATGAGTGACCGGTAACAGGAAACACAAGCTCCACTGTAGTGATTGAAGTTATAGTCCTGTGCAGCCAAGAAATGCACATCGTTAATACAATGGTATTCTTGTTTTGGCCTGGACACCCATCAGCTACCATCCTTAAGGTGTCTTTTAATTCAAAGTAACCAGATTTAGATCTGCACTCAAGTTCTTCAAATACTGCCTTTTTTATTCGAAGACTTTTTCATTTCGTATTCGGCCCAAGAGTAAATTGATACATTTTCTTTGCGTAAAGCTTCGGTTCCAGTAGAACATCCAGAAACTATCGTCAGATTATAGCAGTATAACTGTCTTGAATAGTACACACTCTGATCTGGGTGCTTTGGCAGAGGCATATTTTTTTGCATGTCGTACGACATTATAGCAACATTAGGTTCATCTTTTTTCAAAAGGTTAAAAAACCCTTTAGCACGGGTAGTGTGAACAGTGTATTCTGCTTTAAGCGTTTGCAATATTGCTTCATTTTTTCAACTTTAATTTTTTCTTTGTACTGAAGGCAGGTTTAACACACATGTGTCGAAGGGCTTTTAAAGCTAATGTTGAACCTAGTTACGAATATGCTACGGATTCTTCGTACATCTTCCACATTTTAGAAATAGACAGGGTTGAATCAAGATAAATACGAGTACTCCTCGCTCTACTGTAATGTGATTTTGTGCCTTTAAACTGTTTAGAAAATGTATTACAGAATCAATTTTTCTCTGATATATGTTAGCCTTCCTATAACCACCTCGAGTTTCCACGGGGATGAGACATCCGTCTTTTTTAAATCTTGTGAAAACACCTTCAACTCTGTATTTTGTGATTCCCAATACACTAATAAACGTGTTCCTACATATCTCTAATCTAGTTCCTGTTCGTGTTTCAATATAATATTGGTAGGTTACGTCTTTAGTATGGCTTGATCCGTCTCCTGGTCTGGTTCTTTTTGGTTGTTCTGCTGTGCAATATTTAAGAATAAAAGCATCTTGGCTGGCTTTTGTCTTTTCAGAATAAAATGCACTATGAAACCTATTTATATCTTGCATCTTCAATAAACTGCAATTTTTCTTCCCTCTGTGGCCACATGAAGGAGCATAAGGTAATCCCTTTGAACTGTACCTAAAACAAACATTGGCCATTGAAAATGGAGTTGGCCATCTTTGGTACACTAATATTTGGGTTTTCCGTAACAGAAAGCAGGACATTAAGTTCGTTAACGTTGTCGCCAATAACTGGTTTATTTTTATTTACTTTTCGCATGCAACATTCCCAGCAGCACGGAATCTATTAAGAAATCTCTCAAAATCTTCTATCAGGATACTTTTAAGCATAAACTTTAGAAGCTAAGAGACAATTTTCCAAACATTCTCCAATGCAAAGTACGTCCTGACGTGTATAGGCAATTATAGAGGCTAGATGAGGCAATACATAGTATTAAGTTGTGATTAAGTAGTTTTTCTTTGTTATTTGCGTACTTAGGTTTAGTTACATTTAAGTTTTTTTTATGTTTTGTTATTGTTATCATTGTTCAATAAAACCAAGATCATGTCATTGCTTTTAATCATCATTTAAATGCAATGCTTTTGAGATAGAAGCATTGAACATAAGATGAATTTCATATCTGTCGATATAACATTCCTTCGATATCAGTCACCATAGTCCCTTCGACTATGTAATCTACAGAATTGTAGACCTATATCGTTGCTCAGTTAAGTATACAAACTATTTATGAGAAATATTAATAACCGGTTAACCTACAAAATGGATAATTACCAACCGGTTGAACAGGCTAGGCTGGCTTCCGCAAAGGATATAGTACATCAGACCATCTGCTGACAATGAGAACATTGATAGAGAAGGCAAATGAATACCTTCTTCTTCTTCCTATGCCGTCCCCATTAACGGAAGTTGGCGACCACATTTTTAAAAGCTTCTCTGTCTTTTGCAACGTGGAATAATTCGTCTACAGTCATGTTTGTCCAGTCTCGAATATTTCGCAGCCATGACTTCCTCTTTCTACCTATTCCCTTTTTGCGATCGACTCTACCCTGCATGATGACCTGCAGAAGACTATATTTATTATTTCTTAGTATGTGTCCAAGGTATGTAGTCTTGCATACTTTTATCGTTCTCAACAATTTTTTGACTCGACCCATTCTTCTCAGCACTTCCTCATTGGTGACCCTGGCAGTCCATGGGATTCTCAACATTCTCCGGTATATCCAAAGTTCAAAGGCTTCAATCTTTTTAACTAATTGCGCTTTTAGTGTCCATGTTTCTACCCCGTACAATAGTTGCGACCAGACGTAACATTCAACAAACCTCAGTCTCAGCGCAATATTCAGATTTTTGTCACAGAACAATTGTTTGAATTTTAAGAACGCTGCCCTTGCCATTTCTATTCGTACCCGGATCTCTTGGTCTGGATCTAATTCTGTGGTGATGTAAGCTCCCAGATATTTATATTTTGTCATTCTCTCTATTTGCTGTCCACCAAGAGTTAGTTGTTCATTATTTATTGGACTCCTTGATACTATCATAAATTTGGTCTTATCTGTGTTGATGTCAAGTCCCATTTGAATGCATTCACTATTTATTGCATCTAGTAAAGTTTGTAGATCTTCTATACTCTCAGCCATAATTACCGTGTCATCTGCAAATCTCATGGTGTTTATGATTTCTCCACCAATTCTTATTCCCTCTTTTCTTTCCCATGGCTTTTCTGAATAGGTATGACCTGTGAGTACACGTTGAAAATCGTCGGAGAGAAGACGCATCCTTGCCTAACCCCTCTCGCAATCGGTATATTATTTGTTTCTATATCGTTCACCTTTACTAATGAATACCATCTACCCGTATTTCTTGCCTTCGTCGACTATGAAAAGGCGTTTGATAGTATCCAGATGTGGGCCATAGAACAAGCTATTAATAATTGTAGAATAGACTCGAGATATAGGCAACTAATACATAATGCACTATGATAGTACAACTAGATGAAAATACAAATCCCATCCCCATTAAGAGAGAAGTGAGACAAGGAGACGTAATATCGCCAAAGCTTTTCAACCTAGCCCTAGAAGACGTCTTCAAAACTACAACTTGGTCAACCTATGACATTAACGTTAATGGCAATAAGTTAAACCATCTCAGATTCGCTAACGACATAGTGATTATAGCGAGCACATTCGAGGAACTGCAAATTATGTTGGGGGAACTAGCAGCCAGCTCCCAATACGTCGGCCTAAAAATGAATATGAAAAAAAAAAACAAAAATAATGACAAACACAGAAGACGCCAGACATATAACTATAAACGGCAGTGAGATAGAACAAATCCAGGAATATATCTACCTAGGCCAAATCCTGAGACTTGACAAAGAGAACCAAAGTGCGGAAATTACTAGAAGAGCAAGACTAGCATGGGCAGGATTTTGAAAACTTAGTTGGATACTTAAGAACCGCAAAATACCCCAATACTTAAGGATCAAAGTGTTCAACTAATGCATTCTTCCTATCATGACATATTGATGTTAAACCTGGACCCTAACTAAGGCAAACATGAATAAACTAGCCACAACAGAAAGAACAATGGAAATAGCAATGCTAGGTATACGACTGTCAGATAAAAAGAGGAACGACTGGGTAAGATCCAAAACAAAAGTCGAGGACATAACAATAAAAATTGCAAAACTTAAATGGAGTTTCGCAGGCCACACTGCTAGACAGAAAGACCAACGTTGGAATACTACAATAGAACATTGGAGACCTTACGAAAGTAAACGACCAAGAGGAAGACCACAGATGAGATGGGTTGATGACATTAGAAGAATAGCCGGAACAAATTGGAAATATGTTGCTCAGGATAGAGACCGATGGAAGGAGTTGGGAGAGGCCTATGTCCAAACATGGACGACAGAAGGCTAAGAAGAAGAAGAAGAAGTCCCATTCGACGTATTACAAATTAATACAAAAATAATGATAATAATAGGAAAAGTCGTAAATTATTGGTGGCAAAGTCATTTGGCTCCTAAAAGTAAACCAATCCATATTTTGACATTAAAGAATAAACATAATAC